CTCCCACCTGTAACATGTGAGTCAGTTGTGGGACATCTTGATATCGGCTTTGGAACGCGATCCCTCTTCGCAAACGGAACGCGCCCGCACGCGGCCCCGCTTCCGACGATTTTGCGAAAGGAGGTTTACGCAGGATGTACAGGGACGGGAGCGGCAGAACTTCATATTGGCTCGGCGAAGATGAAGCATGCGCCGCAATGACGCAGCACCGTCCTTTTCACTCGCAAAGTGCGCGGCGCTTGAGCGAGGTCGGCATTGCGTTCGCTCTTGCGCGGCCCCGGTGCCACTCTGGCTTTCGCTCGATTCGGCGAACGATCCATGCGCCGCGCCCGCGTGGGAACGCCACTTCTGATCGAAACGCGCACCCGGGCTCCCCGACATTGGCGAGTGCCAGATATGCGCCGCAGTCGACAGCGACATTTTTGCCCGCTCGCGTGTCGATGAAGTTGCGTGCGGAATATGTACGTCGTGCCCAAGCGAAAACTCAATTCTCTAAACCAGTGGGCTCGGCGCCGAGGCGAGATTGACATTTCGGCATTTTGAGCGGTATGTGCGCCGCGTCTTGTTCCCGCCACGCATCTTGCAGAGTCGACGACGAAACGCCCATGTTGAGACGAAAAGCATTGATGGTATATTATTGTTTGACAGGTGGGATGGGACCCTCTGGATCCGAGGCTAGGTGGCAAACGGTGAGCATATACCAAGGCGGATCAAGGATCGGATAAGAAGGAGGCACATGATGATGATGATGCTGATGATGATGATGATGATGATGATGATGATGATGATGGCGATGATGTCGATGATGGTGATGGTGATGTTGATGCTGATGATGATGCTTAAGAATAATAAGAAGATGATGATGCTGATGCTTGTGATGATGATGATGCTGATGAGGACGATGATGCTGTTGATGCTTGTGATGGTGATGTTGATGATGATGACGATTATGCTGATGATGATGATGATGATGATGATGATGATGATGATGATGATGATTATGGTGGTGGTGGTTGTGGTGGTGATGATGGTCGGGACCGAGATGGTGATGCTGATGATGATGATTGTGATGATGATGATGATGTTGTTGATGATGATGATGATGCTGATGACGATGCTGATGACGATGCTGATGCTGCTGATGATGATGATGATGATGATGATTATGATGATGCTGATGCTGATACTGGTGCTGATGCTGATGCTGCTGCTGCTGCTGATGATGATGATGATGATGGTGATGGTGATGGTACTGGTGATGGTGGTGATGGTGGTGGTGATGGTGATGGTGATGGTGATGGTGATGGTGATGGTGATGGTGGTGGTGGTGGTGGTGGTGGTGGTGGTGGTGGTGGTGGTGAGGGAGGAGGAGGAGAGGAGGAGGAGGAGGAGGAAGGAGGAGGAGGAGAGGAGGAGTGGGAGGGTGAGGAGGAGGACGGAGGAGGAGGAGGAGGAGGGAGGAGAGGAGGAGGAGGGAGAGAGAGAGGTGAGGAGGAGGGAGGGAGGAGGAGGAAGGAGGAGGAGAAGGATGAGGACGACGAGGAGAGAGTGAGGGAGGGGGGAGGGAGGAGAGGAGGAGGAGAGGAGGAGGAGAGGAGGAGGAGGAGGGAGGAGGGAGGAGGGAGGAGGAGGGAGGAGGAGGAGGAGTGGGAGGGAATATGGGGGGCGAGGAGGAGGGATGACGGAGGAGGGGGGAGGAGAGGAGAGGAGGAGAGAGGAGGAGAAGAGGAGGAGGAGAGGAGGAGGAGGTACGGAGGAGGAGGAGGAGGAGGGAGGAAGAAGGATGAGGTCGACGAGGAGACAGAAGAGTGAGGCTGAGGGGGGGGAGGTGAGGAGGGCGGGCCGGCAGCGGAGGTGGTGGGTCTCGTTGCATCGGCGGCCATGGGCCTCTTCCGCCTCGCGTCCCAGACCTGCGACAGCGGCGTCGGAGCGCCGACGCCGCCCCTTTCGCAAGGGGGTGGGAGAGGGAGGGGGCGGCTCGAGAGGAGAGCGCCAGCTGGCTCGACGCCTCGTCGTCGGGGAGCTTGGAGAGAAGAGAGGAGGGGGAAAGGAGAGGGAAGCGGAAGGAAATGGGGAGGGGGGAAACGGTGATAAGTAGAGGAGGATGAGGAGGAAAAGGAAGAGGAGAAGGAGGAGGGAGGAGCAGGAGGAGTAGGATGAGCAGGAGGAGGAGCAGGAGGATCAGGAGGATCGGGAGGATGAGGAGGAAGAGGAGGAGGATGAGCAGGAGGAGCAGGAGGAGGAGGAGGGAGCAGGGTGAGGAGGAACAGAAGGAGGAGCAGGAGGAGGAGGAGGCGATACGCGCACGAATCTTTGGAGTTCTTTGCCATTGGGTTTTTTGTCTGGCATCCTTGCGCGACGAAACGCCTGAAGTGCCTCAGCACTTGGCGCTTCAAAGATGGGGCCATGAGGACGAGTGGTCTTAAACAGTGTTGTTTGGCTTGAGTGGGACTCCTTTCTTATCCAACCCCGCCATGCCTTAGTGCCTCGTCCTGGAGCCGCCGACAGGTGAAGGGAGCCTTGGCAGGGGTGGGGGGGGTATGCTCGTGCCGCTTCGCCGCTCGACGACTCCCCGCTTCGGAGGCCCCGGCAGTGGAGGTCGACCCCAGTTGGACCGTTGACGCGGTTGCAGAGACCAGAGGCCACGTTTTCCGTCATAGATGGAGCCCGCCATTCCTTCTCGCAGCAGGGTCATTTCGGCTTCATGGCGTCCTGACACAGGGCCGCCATCGCTGTCCCTGCTCGCTTGCACACGGGTGGGCAGTGTTCTTGCGGGGGCCCGTTTCATTCGCGTTGCTTCGCTTCCCTCGTCGGCCGATTGTTTCAACGGCATCTTGGCCTCCTGGCCATGACAGGAATTGCCACACCAAGCTCATAGATGTCGGCTTCGCCAAGTACCTGAAAGGCCTGCATGGGAGGGGTGGGATGGGAGGAGGGGGGGGAAGTTGGGTAGGACGGGAGGGGACGCGATGCAAGGGGGGAGGGAAGAGGAGATGGAGAGGAGAAGGATGAGGAGGAGGTGTTTGAGTGGGAAGAGGGGGATGGGAGGGGATGAAGAAGTCGCCCCTCCAGCCCTAGCGCGTTCAGTGGCTTGCTTCAGATGTCCTGTCACATGTTGGGAAGGCCTTGCGGTCGGCACCGCCGACCCAGAAGTGGAACGACGACGACGTCGACGACGACGACGACGATGCTTCGGAGCCCTTCTTGGGGCTTTCTTGGGAGCCTATGGGGCTCTGTTGGGGGCCTCTTGGGGAACTTCTTGGGCAGCTCCGTGGCAACTTGGGGCCGCCTCGTACCCGATTTGAGGGCCCTTGGAGGCATGTCGGAAAATACGCAGTACCCCGCAACAGCATATGAGAGTGAGGAGGGTGCCTCCTGGGGGTGTCTGGGAGGAGGGGGTGGTGGTGGTGGTGGTGGTGGTGGTGGTGGTGGTGGTGGTGGTGGTGGTGGTGGTGGTGGTGGTGGTGGTGGTGGTGGTGGTGGTGGTGGTCTCTTGTTCAAAGGGGGGAGCCGGGGGGAGGGGTCCTGAGTTCCCCCTGTCCCCAAGGGGAACGCCGCCCCCCTGTCCACCTCGTCCACAGCAGACCGCCTGGGAGGGTGGTTCGACCCCTAGGACACCCCCGCAGGACTCCCCCCGGGACTCCCCCCCCGCAGGAGAAGGAATCAAAGGAGAGGGATTTCCTTTCGAATCAATTTTGGCGTTGTTTGATTTCCGTTCGGCTGGATCGCTTGAGCAGATGTGGAGCCAGAGACTGATGGCCACACTTCGTTGCGATATCAGTCGCAGAAACTGATGGCCACACTTCGTTGCGAGTGCTAGTGTTTATAACGACAGAAACTTGAGTCACCTCTGAAGTAGCCTTGCAGAATAAACAAATGTGTGTCCATCAGAGTTCCAAGCATCTCCTCCGCATTCATGCCATCCTCTTTCGACGCCCCTCCTCCTCGTCCATCCCCTCATAGTCCTCGAGAGCGGGTCAGTGCACCCAGGGCTCGTATTGCGAACCGATTTGCGCTCCATTAGCCCAGTCGTTACGACTGAATTTGATTTTTGTTCCGTCTTGCGTTGTCTTCAATTTGTATTGGTAGGTCCGCGTTGTTGCACTCCCTGGGACTGGGTCCGCTGGTATTTTGTATGTCCTCGAGTTGTCCATCAGCAGGAGTTGTTGATTGTACTAGTCGCTGCGCGTGTGGATACTCTCCGTGCTGCTCTCTTCGAGCTTCGGCTGGTAATGATTGGTAGGTGCCTGGGTGAACGATGACGACGCCATCTTCCCATGGCACGTGCGGGTTACCAGGTGAATTCGTTGCGTTCGGTCCTCCTGTGGGGGTGTCACGCGGGTCAACGTTCGCTACGCGAGCGCGTCACGTGCAGGAGGCGAGAAGAGAGGCCCGATACGCGATGCTGCCAAAGCCGCCGGTATCATTTCGGTTTTATAAGATGTGTGTGTGTGTGTTCTTGAAGTGTTGGTTATTTGTTCAGGCCGTTCCAAGCAAGCCTGGGAGAGGCTCCAGAAACACCAGAACTGTCCTAAGAAGCCGCCCCGGACATCCCCAGAGGGCCTCCAGAGATGTCCAAGACAGGTCAAGGTGAGAGCCTGCGAGGGATCCTTAGGTGCCGCATGCCGAAGCATTGCCCAGCAGGCGCCAAGAGGTTGGGCGAAACACGCACGTGAGTCCCCTAGAGAGGCCCAAGAGACACGAAGAACTGCCCAAGCGACAAGGAAGCAACAGCACGCATCAGCAACCAGCAGTAATCCAACGATTTCGAGCAGCAGCGACAGAAGCAAACTGCTCAAGATGATTTGCTCTCTTTGTGTCCGAAATATGTGTTACCAGGAGTCGTGCTCATGGGGGTGCGGATCCATCGAGTTTGTGCTATGTTATGTATCGGGCTGAGGGCAGCACCATCACCCTTGGTACTGTTGCATTGGCCATCGCTCTTTCTGTCTTAGCTGATTGTCGAATCAGCGGGCCGAAGCAGACAACAGCTTGAGTTCATGATATTTCTCTTCGCGGTCCTCCTCGGCAGCCCTGGCACCGCCGCGAGCGGGGCCGCGGGCCCTGGGCTGGCGGAGCCGACACGGGCATGCGAGGCGTGTCTGCTTTCCAGACCTGTTGCGGGGGAGATGCGGGAGGAGGACGAGGCCAGCCTGCTGCAGCGCGGCGCCGCTTCCCTTGCTGTGGCAGGCCCCGAGGCCTCGGGGGAAGAGGCACAGGAGTTCCTCCAGGGCTCTCGGCACAGCAGTATCGCAGGGAAGTCGATCTATCTGATCATGATTGATCGCTTCGCACGCGAGGGAGGCTACAGTGCCGGGGACGATTCGAAGTGCTCTGGGAGCAATTGGTGTAATGGCACGTTGCGCGGGATTACACTACATTTGCCTTATATCAAGCGGATGGGCTTTGATTGTATTTGGGTAACCCCGCCAATAAAGAACTTCGACGGTTACGATGGACAGAGCGGCTATGGCTACGCGGGCTATTGGGCCGAGGATCTCTACGACATCGATCCGCACTTTGGTACGAAGATCGACTTGAAAGAGTTGGTACGTGAGACGCACAGACACGGCATGTGTTTCATCTTAGACATCGTCTTGAACCACGTGAGGCCGATCCACTCGGTGGCGGACTTGGCCGTAGTCCATCCCTTCAACGAAACCGGATATTTTCACCAGCTCGGCATCGGCAACTCAACCTTCGACGAGTACAGCGCCAAGAAGAGCAGCTGGCCTCCTCCTACCCAGGCCCTCTCTGTGGGAGCTTCTTGCGCAGTGCGGGTGGGCATGGATGGCAAGAAGGATTGGACCAATGGTGGTAATTACTGCAATAATTTCAACCCATCGGACGTGTTCAACGAGAGCACATACTTGGGCGAAGACGCGCCTGGCCCGAATACGCTGTCGTATTGTGGGCCAGGAAATTTTGACTGCAAAGGATACAACGTCACATCAACTTTGGAGGGTTGGTTCTATGACCTCGCAGATCTGAACCAGTCCGTGCCTTTCGTGCGGGAGAGCCTGAAGGAGTGGGCAGCCTGGATGGCCACAGAATACGATATCGATGGTGCCCGGTTGGACACGGCGCCCTTCATGCCCCATCATTTTCTCTTCGAGGTCCAGGAGCATTTGAGAAGTTTGCAGAAGCCCATCGATATCGAGGACGCCGTCGGCGAACCAACGCCGCCCCCTGCCCTTTGGGAATCGCCCATGTGGCCGAGCGCTGTGGCAGAAGCTCTGCCAAGGTATCGGACCTTGCGTTCCCTCAGCAGTTGTGGAAACCTTTCGGGGAACACTTGGGGGAGGATGGCGAGGACGATCAGGAGGAGGAGGACAAAGGAGGGGGCATCTTGGGAGCCTCTGGGGGCACTCGTGGGGCCTTCTAGGAGCTTCCTGGGGGCCCCTTGGAGGCATCTTGGGGGTCTCGTTGGGCCAATTGGTGGCCTAGGGGGGCTTTTCGGGTGCATGTTTCGGAGCGCCCGATTTTGAAATCTTTCCGAAACCTCAAGGTGTTTGAAGGATTTCGGCATGCGCGCGCGACGACAAACACGCATGCACTTCGTCCCTTTGTTGTAAGGAGTTCTTGCGGCAGCGCGCGCGCAAAGGGCGTTCGAGCGAGTCCGGCACGCGCACGCGAGGGGCCACTGTGGCAGCAAGTTATGCAAGTGTTGGAAACCCATGGTTGTCTTGAGAATGTGCGAGAGCCCAAGCGCCAGCTTTGTTTGAAAGTTTTTGTCGCGAAACCTTTTGCTTCTATATGTTTGCGGGGCGCTCGGTTCTGAAATCCCTACGAAAGCTAAGGTGTGTTTGGACAAATTTCGGCATGCGCGCGCGACGACGCGCGCGCGTGCACTTCGTCTCTAACTCGAAGGAGATGTTTGACACCTGATGGTTTGTGATGAACGAGCGCGCGCGAAGTATGTTGCTGAGGATGAGGGGTGGGATACCGGTTTCGCTGGGATGCTTTGAGTTCATATTGTGGATGGACGACGGGGCAGAGACGCATGCAAATTGCAATGCGAAATGGGGGTCGGGGGTCTTGGAAGCCCGGGGGAAGTAGATCTTCATGTTCGTTTAGAAAAGGTTATCTACGTGGTGAATTTCATGTCTGCTCACATTGGGTTGTCCACTCCACTGCTCGCGCAACCATCCCACCCGCCCGCCCGCAGCTTGGTTAGCAAAACCCATACTGCGGTTATTGCGATGAGTGCTTGGAGATGGCTGGTGCATTCCTGCGGCCGCGCGCGCTCGCGCGGGCAGCGGCCAGCTGGTTTGGCGAAACCGACGCGGCCGCGGTGGCGCGGAACGCCGGGCACCTCCCAGCGGGCACTTCAGTGCGAGCGGGCCACTTGGGCAGGCGCGGTATCGTTGCAACGTCGACAACGGTGCAGTCGGGGCCGTTGGGGAGGGGCCCCGCGTTCCTTAACTGTTTCACAGCTTGCCTCAGGCTTTCCTCCGGTTTTCGACAGCAAATCGAAGGTTACCTTATGGAACAAAAGTGGCCTCGTTCCTTATTTAGGGTTCCTTAGGTCAACGCCCCGACTGTAGACGCGATGATGATGGTAGCGATGCTGGTGACGATGATGACAAAGACGGCGGCAAGGCCACTGACGGCGCCGATGCGGATCGCTCCGGGGACGATGACGACGTCTTCGAGTCGGCGATGAAGGTTTTGAATGTGGCTCGACATGCGCGCGCGGCCGACGCGCAAGAGTGGACCGCATGGCTTTATTTGACACGGATCGCGCCCCCCCCCGCCCGCGCGCAAGTACGTTCGAATGATTCCGACGTGCGGCGCGAGGGAACCGTTTGGTTGAATTCAATGGGATTGTGGAAATTGTATGGTTACCCAAGATCCTGCAAGAGCCCGAGCACAAACTTGCCTTGCACATCCGTGTTGCACCGAACTTTGTTATCATATGTTTCCAGGGGTGTCGACTTTGAAATCCCTACGACACGTGCGTCGTTGTGTCATATAGTTTAACGATTACATAAGTACACAAACAAAATGTCGCATGCGCGCGACGACGTGCGCGCAAAGGCTTTCGAACGATTCCGACGCGCGTGCGAGAGGCCCGCTTGGTAGCAAGTTATATGCATGTTGAAAAACGCATGGGTTCCTTAAGAAATCGCAGAAGCACCAGCGCAAACTTCCTTGCACATGCGTTACGGCCAGCGCCGCCGACCGTGAAGGGGAACGGCGACAACGGCGGCGGCGGCGGCGACAACGACGACGACGCTGACGTGGTTCAGGGTCCTCATGGATGCTTCTTGCGGTTTCTTCGAAGCGCTCTCGGGGGCCCCTGGGGAACAGCCTCTTGGGAGCCTCTTGGGGGCTCCTTGGGTGCCTCTTGGGGGCCTTTCGGGGCGTCATGGGGGCCTCATGGGGGCCTCTTGGGGGCCTCTTGGGGGCCTTTTGGGACCTCTTGGGGATCTCTTGGGTGCCTCTTGGTTCCTCATGGGAGCCTCTCGGGGCCGAGGGCTTGAAATGTTCGGTTTGGTCCCTCGTCCGGGCACTCTCTCAGAGCCGTCTTAGGGGCCTCGTGGGCCGTCTTGAAAGCGTATTGGGCCGTATTGGGGCCCTCTGGGGCCGTGATGGGTCTCTCCTGAAGCCCTCTTGGGCCGACTTGGGGCGATCTGGGGAGCCTTTTGGGCCGTCTTGCAGCGTTGAGAGGCAGGAGCGCCGAAATGCTTCAACAACCAATGGTGAATCATTGATTTTTCCTTTGGGGGCCCTCTTGGGAATGCCCGTGGGGCGTATTGCAGCGCTCTTGGGCCGTCTGGAGGCCGTCAAGGCGTCTTGGACAGATCGTTCGGCGATCCGGGGCCCTTGTGGACCGTCTTGGGGGCCTCTTGGGGCACTCTTGGCCTGCCTTGGGGCTCTCTTGGGGCTCCGGGATCCCCCCGGGGGGGAAGCGCATCTGACCCAGGACCCCTTGGGATCGCTGGGACGTGTGCCCCTTTTTCTCGGCGGGGACTATTGAGGAGCATCCTGGATCCTCCTGCGAAAAACAACCACGCACGCGAAACCGAAGAAAGCACCGCGAATGGACGGCCGAACGCTGGCCAGACCCGCCCCGAGAGACCCCCCCTTCGATGAGCAACAGACGAGGTGACAGATCGGACGTCTGACAGCTGCACTTTTCCTCGGCTATTTTTCCACTCCAGTCAGCAGGGCTCGAGCGCACGTGCTTTGAACACCCTCTGCAGATCGAAATGCTCGGCTCACACCGCGTGAGGCCGACCGGAATTCTGAACACAAATTTGGACAGTAAAACTTGTTAAGCCGTCGAACTCGGCATGGCATTCGAACTCGGGGGACCCCCTTCTGGGGCCCCCCAAGGGCCGGGTCTCCCCCGGGGCCCGCCCACGGGGCCCCCCAGCCTCCCCCCCCCCCCCGCGGGGAGAGGATCAAGGGGAAGGGGCTCTCCTTCGAGGGGATTGCGACGTTGGTGACTGAAGAGAAGGGCCCAGGGTGAGGGAGGGAGCGTCTGGCGCGCTGGAAAAGGAGACCCAGGAGAAAGGGAAAGGATCAAGGGAAGGGGCTCTCCTTCGAGGGGATTGCGACGTTGATGATTGAAGAGAAGGGCCCAGGGTGAGGGAGGGAGCGTCTGGCGCGTGGGAAAAGGAGACCCAGGAGAAAGCTCGGAATGGCGACGGCGACGACGACGACGACGACGACGAGGAGACGGCGAGTGAAACAGCGACGAATGGAAGAGCCTCTTCCACACGCCGACAGGATCGGTGGATTTTGGTCTCTTCGGGCCTTCTGGAGGCCTTCTGGGGGGCCCTTGGGGCCATCTTGAAGACCTCTTGGGGGCCTCTTGGGCCGTCTTGGGGCCCTCTTGGAGCCATCTTGGGTCTTCTTGGGGGCCTCCTTGGGCCGACTTAGGGGCCTCTTGGACTGCTCCAGGGCCGTCTTGGTTTGGGAGACTCTTTGGCCGTTCTGGGGCCATCTTGGAGGCCTCTTTGGCGATCTTGCGGCGATCTTGGGGGGCTCTTGGGCTTTCTCGGGCCGTCAGAAGGCCGAAAATAAGCAAACGCTTACATTTTTCAAATCGACTAGACGTAAGAGTGACCCTTCGCTGGAGTGACCTTTGGTGCGGGCACATTGGGGTTCCCCGATCGCCAAAATCGATGTGCTGGTAGCGTCTTGCGCGCCTGTGTGTTGGTCACACCGCGGCCCCCAAACAGCCGCGCACCAACGGTGACTCTTACCAAGGGTCACTCTTTCGTGTAGCCGATCAAACATATACGGAAAGTCAATGATTTTGGCCTCTTCGGGCCTTCCTGGAGGCTCTGTTTTAGGCCTCTTGCGCGGTCTTGGAGGCCTCTCGGGAGCCTCTCGGGCCGTCTTGTCCCGTCTGACGCCGTCGGAAGTCGTCTTGGGGGCCTCTGTGGGCCGACTTGGGGCCCTCTTGGGGTGCTCCAGGGCCGTCTTGGAGGCCATCTTAGGCGTCTTGGAGGCCTTTTGGGCAGTTCTGGAACTGTCTTGGGGCCGTCATGGGGGCTTCTTTGGCCGTTCTGGGGCCATCTTCGAGGCCTCCTGGGCGATCTTGAGGCGATCTTTGGGGGCTCTTGGGCCGTCTCGGGCAGTCGACAGGCCGAAAAGAAGCAGCCATCAACATATTTCAAACATATATGGAACATCAATGATTTGGGCCTCTTCGGGCCTTCCTGGAGGACACCTTGGAGACCTCTTGAGCCATCTTGGAGACCTCTTGGGGGCGTCTCGGAGCGTCTTGGGCAATCGCGCCATCCTGAAGCCAGCGTGGGTCCTCTAGGAGGCTTCGTGGACGAACTTGGAGGCATCTTGGACCCTCGTGGGCCGTCTTGGAGACCATCTTGGACCATCTTGGGCGAACTTGGAGGCCAACTTGGCGTTCAGGAGGCCATCTTGAGCAGTCTAAGAGAATTGGTTGTGGGTTTGAGGTGGTTGTGCTGCTTTCCGCGCGGCAGGCGCACTGGGCCGGAGCCCCCAGGGGAGAGTGCGTTTGGAAAAAAGCTAAAACCAAACCAGTAGTATCTGGCACGCCGGGCACCCCTGTGGCAAGACCACAGGGGGCGGCGGCGGATCAAAGACGCCTACGGCGAATCACCGCCGCCACCTGCCTTTTTGGAAGCGCCTTTGGAGCCGAACGTTGAGGCCATACCTGCCAAGCTAT